GTAAATTAGTGGCCTGAGACAACAGACCCATTTTTTAGTGTCTATGTATGTTTTGGTTCTTTACCTAGGAGATTGGGAGCCAGCTTTTCCCTTCGCCTTCCCCCTTTTCAGTTTCAGGCCATAATGTAATTGACTTTAGCTTTAATGCCATTAAATAGGAATGGGTCTAGTGTCCAGCTGAGTTCCAAAGTAGTTTCACCATCTGGTACCTTCCATGTGGTACCTTGGGTGAATATTTCTTATCTGTAAATTAAGGACAATAATATTACTTAATGGGAATATTTTGAAGGTCATATTATTTGGGAAGAGCTCCTTCCTTATTCATGTCTTTTTTTCCCAATATTAGTTGGAAAATTTTGGCAAAAGACAAATCTCATATTTCATGATGCTACAAAATATCTCTGAAAGTTAAGAGTTTTTTTAGAAAGGAAGGGTTAGCAAAAATAGAATAAGCATTCCATAGTCATTATACTGTAATTCCTTCCAGTCTTCAGGCAGTCCTGAAGGGATGAAGGCCTGAGAGTCATCATCTCTTGCACATAAACTCATTCTGGTTGCACTCTTGTATAGCATAGTTCATATTTACATCACTGTGGCATTTCCCAGGGTTTAGAGTAAGTAGAAAATGTGGCTTCTTTTTTGTGGTACGCGGGCCTCTCAGTGCTGTGGCCTCTCTCACCATGGAGCACAGGCTCCGGACGCGCAGGCTCAGTGGCCATGGCTCACGGGCCCAGCCGCTCCGCGGCACGCGGGATCCTCCCGGACCGGGGCACGAACCCGTGTCCCCTGCATCGGCAGGCGGACTGTCAACCACTGCGCCACCAGGGAAGCCCCTGGCTTCTGTTTTTTCCTGAAGTTTCTCTCAAAAATATGCCTGGCCATGTACTGTAGAACTTCCTCCCTTCTTTTCTTTCATTCATTTCATAAACTTCAGCACCTATCATGTATGTGGCAACCTGCCATGGTTACATACAACAGCAAAAACCAAGAGTAGCCCAAAGACAAATCCTCACATTCTTGAGAACGCCCTCCTGGGGAGAAGTCACAGAGCCTGAGCTCCAGGCCAGAGTGATCAAGGCAGTAGCTAATTCACTGAGTAGATCCTATACCGAGTGTCTCAAAGGCTTTCAGTGTTTTTCTATTTTTATTTAATTTCTGAAAGGATCCACACACATGACTTTTAAAGTTTTTTTTTTTTTATTGTGGTACGCAGGCCTCTCACTGTTGTGGTCCCTCCCTTTGTGGAGCACAGGCTCCGGCGTGCAGGCTCAGCGGCCATGGCTCACGGGCCCAGCTGCTCCGCGGCATGTGGGATCTTCCCGGACCGGGGCACAAACCCATGTCACCTGCATCGGCAGGTGGACTCTCAACCACTGCGCCACCAGGGAAGCCCACGACTTTTAAAATTTAAAAATTTCTAAGATATTTTTCAACATATTTATTTGAAAGCTGACAGTATTGAAATGGTAACAGAAAAAAAAAGAAGCAATAAAGATTTCTCCTGTTCTGTTCAATCAAACTTTATCAATACTGTACATTTCTGAAATGACAGCGAATTTGAATCTCTTAAACCTGTACATGACTCTTATCTACGTTGGGGTGGAGCATAATTGAGGATTTGGCTTTTATTGATTTTGTGTGTGTGTGGATTTGTTCCTTTTTTTCCAAAGAATGGTCAAATTCTCAAATATCCTAGGGTATGCTTCAATCTCCTGCTGGTGTTCCCCCCCTCAGGATCTCTCTTTTTGTGGGGGGGAAGGCAGAGAACCATCAGGTATCTCCGTTTTTTCTTGATCTCAGGCACAGAGGGGCCTTTGGCTTAGCGACTGTACTGCCTGAACCCCTGGATCCCCAAGGCATACACAGTCAGCAAACAGCCCAAAGGATGTCCTGATGGTCTGGGCTGACCTTTGGACTGGCTTCTAGGGCCCCATATATAGCCCTCTGCACTTTGAATCAGGCCAGCTCAACAGTTCCCCAGGCTGGTGGTTTGTTCTGGGATGACTGAAAGTCTGAAAACCACTCTAAAAGAGCCTACCTCCCAGGTACTTCTTTCCTTAAACAGAATGGATGAAGATGGACTAGGAAAATTACTCCTAGAATAATTTCTTCTGATAAGAGCGAGTAGAGCCTGCTTGTGCTGGATATACTATTTGCCCCTTCCCCTGCCCCTGGAACCCATTGCCCTCCCTACCCAATATCTGAGTCCTGGACTAGGTTGCAGTCTCTCTAGCCCTTTGGCGTCCAGTTGGATTTGGCCAATGGGAAACTCTTTCAGGAGAATGAAGGGAATTCCCTGGCGGTCTAGTGGTTAGGACTCTGTGCTTCCACTGCAGGGGGTCTGGGTTCAATCCCTGTTGGGGGAACTAAGATCCTGGAAGCCAGGAAGCACGGCCAAAAAGAGAAGAATGGAGGGTGGGAGGCAAGAGAGGTCAGTGTGTTCCTTCCCACTGCTGTCTCCTTGACAGGAGGTGGCCCTGGCAGTGGCTGTCACCAGCTATAGCTCCTGTTTTGAGCCCCCTGTCCAGGACTCTAGTTCCCTTCCTTTACACCAACTAGTTTAGGGGAGATAACCTCTTCCCACTGTTGTTAATCCCTGTGTCGATCCCTAAACTCTGCCCACATCCTAGTAAATTGTCCCTTTTACTTTATAAAGCCTTTTAAATTAAAATCTTTGCATGTGCCATCTATTTTTCTCCTGGGAAGGACCTTGACTGATACAGCCATACATGTTGTACTGCCTCCACCTGGAAAATCCCAAAACCTTTCAGAGATTAGAAGCAGCCACCTCCTAGGAGGTGTCCACATCCACCTTCAACACCTACAGCTACTACAAAATCCAGGACCGGAGTCATGATTTGCTAGACTGGCATTTCTTTTTTTTTTTTTTTTTTTTATTTCTTTTTTTTTTCTTTTTTTTCTTTTTTTTAACTTTTAAACTTTTTCATTATAGTACCCTTC